AATGATAGAAACTAGAATTATTTGAACACGACAGGTGCTGCAAATTCAACAAAACGGTGAGAGTATACATAATTATATAGAAATGCTATGTACTAGACTTTATAAAGGCTTTTTTCAATACAATAGAAAGGACGGCCACCAGTGCTGCCCACACACATTCCTCAGTTCAAAATCTACGACAACAAACACGCACGCAAGTTTTGTTCGTAGCACACCATGGACCATAATTATCGTCTTAAAACGGCAAAAACAAAAAAGAACACGATGCTGAGGAGTGAACTCGAGGCGCGTTCTGGAAGGTTTCCGGAGGACCGTCTCGTCTCGTCGTTGCTTTGACCGAACGTTCCACACCAGGTCGGGTCGGGTTACGGGTCAGATCTGTGGAGTGGAGTGGAGTAAAAATGGTAAAGTTTAAAGGCTCCATGTTACGTCGTTTTTGGATCTGTGTTATAATAATGTTTCGTCGTCGTAAACAGATGTGGAGTTGAGTTTTGGTTCGTTCACGCACGTCACAAACCCAAAATATTTAGGCTGCCTCTCATCAAACACGCACCTTCACAAAAATGATCAAAATGTCAATCGTTTGTGTTTCGTTTGTGTTGTTTTGTGCTGGAAAAAGTTTCGTTTGTGCTGTTTTAGTTTTGGAGATATTAACGATTCTTTTGGGGTCAGCAGCCCCCAGGAAACTTCAAAACGCTCTAAAATGACACAAAATGGAGTCAGTTGTTTGTGTTTTGTTTGTGCTGCGAAAAGTTTTTGTTTGTGCAATTCTGGTTCTTAAGATATTAACAGTTTTATTTTGGGCCGATGACGTTCCAGCCCTCAAAATGTTAAAAAGCCTCAAAACAGCAGAAAATTTGACGAAACGTTTCTATTTCGTTAGTGCTGTTTTGTGCTGTGATGATTTTCATTTGTGCGAGTAGATTTCTACAATTATTAATTGTTATTTTAGTGGAAATGATATGACGTCATTTTTGCTCAGCTGACGACGGCAAACTTCGCAAAACTAGTGAAGAGAAATGATCTCAGACAGTGTAAAAGTCTGTATTATTATATCAAATATGAATCAAAAGCAAGTTACTAAAGACTGATACAGACTTTTCCACAGCCTCAGATTGTTTCTTTTCTCTAGTGTTGCAGAGTTTTCCACCATCAGCTGAGTGGAAATGATGTCATATAATTTCCACAAAAATAATAATTAATAATTGTAGAAATATACTAATGCACAAATGAAAATTGTCAAAGCACAAAACAGCACAAACGAAATACAAACGTTTCTTGCAATTTTCTGTTGTTTTCAAGCTATTTAACATTTTGAGGGGCTGGATGACGTCATCAGCCCGAAATAAAACTGTTAATATCTTAAGAACCAGAATTGCACAAACCAAACTTGCAGCACAAAACAGCACAAACGACTGACTTCATTTCGTGTCATTTTAGAGCATTTTGAAGTTTCCTGGGGGCTGCTGACCCCAATTTGACCTATAATAGAATCATTGGTATCACTTTATAATAACTACACCTTATTTAGCCTTAATAAAGCATGAACAAAGGCTTAATTAATAATGAACAAAGACTTAATTAAGAATGATTCACGCTTAGTAACTACTTAATTACTACCTTAATTAGCACTTGCACTTAATTTGCCTGTGCTGTAAATAGTTACTCATAATTATTTCATACTTAATTACTCATGAACTAACCATTTGAGCATTTATTAATCATTAGTAAATTATGAGAGAATGATTTACTAATAATACAAAGCAATGATCATTCAGGCAGCTGTTATCTGTTAGTTAAGTCTTTTGGAGAGCTTTTCTAAAGTGAAGACTAATTATCCTTTATTAAACATTTACTAAGCATGAATCATTATTAATTAAGTCTTTGTTCATTATTAATTAAGGCTTTATTCATGCTTTATTAAGGCTAAATAAGGTGTAGTTATTATAAAGTGTTACCGAATCATTAATATTTCCAAAACTAAAGCAGCACAAATTGAACTTTTTGCCACACAGAAGATTGACAGTTTTTGTGTAGGTTTTTGTTTGATGGGGGGCCAACTTCATGCAGGTATTTAGGCTGGGTTCTTCGCTCAAACAGAAAACACACACTGTTCCACCTTGTGATGTCATGTGGTAATACAGGAAGTGTTCCACTGTGTTTTTAAACTCCACACACCTTCACTAGAATCACTTGGATGATTTCAGTTCTGGAATTGTCAATCTCTACTGGACTAAAGGTAAAAGGAGCTGTTAAACGCCACACATTACAGGATTTTTTGGTCTTAAACAATTTGAACAATGTCAACACAGACATGAGGAGAATCTGATGAGACTCAAAATCTCTGATTGCAAAGACTGGAACGTGACCATGTTCCCTCATTTCTATGTTTAGATTTTTTTTTTCTTTCTAAAATTAGGCCTTATGTTCCTTCATTCCCTTTATCATCAAATTGCATCAGATTTTATTCCAATTTCTCCCAATGTGGTCGTCAATTACACCGGATCTATTTCTCCAGCAGCAGTTCACTACAGATGAAAAATGACCTGAATTAGAGTTTCATTTTCAGAAAAATCTTAGAAATAAGAAAAATCCTGACCCCGTGAAGACTGCAGTGGGATCTGTCTGCGGACCACAGGCTAGTAAAACAACTCACTCCGAGACTCTTAAGTGTTCAAAAGATCGGAGCTCTGCACTTCTAGTTTACACACAAGTCAAAACTGTGTTATTATTATTTGTGAAATGTGGTGCAAATCTTCAGATACAGGATTTTTAAAGCCTAAAAGACTGGCAATAAAATCCGCAGGAAGTAAAGTCACTGTCACTAATCTGCAGCTTCACCTCGATCTGTGCACTGTGTGGATGTAAACAGACACACGTGAGGAACTACTCCCACCTTTTTACTTTTAAAGAACACCTCAAACTGGATTCACAGCGATGTTTTGTGGACTAGATGTTATTATTCGCAGAGGACAAATTCTATGGATAATGTGGATGAGACGCTGCATTTTAAATTTACAACTTTACAAGAGGCGAGTAATAAAGTCACCTTATTATTTTCTCTATATCCCGGGTTTGTATCTTGATGCTTTGTTTTATTGGCTGTTACCGTAGCGTTGCTGATGTTTGGTGGTTACAATCTGAGAGTGACACTAACACGAGGAGCGCCACAAAATCTAACACGAAGACACAAACTCAATCAGAGCCTCTCCGAACTCAGGAAGAAGCAAATCGCAGCCAAAATCGGGCAAATTCTCCTGTAGTGTGTGGCAGCCTTAACTTGAAAACTACCACTCCATGATGTCACAAGGTGGAACGGAGTATCTTGAGCTTTGGAGATGTACGTGAATGAAACAAAAAAACGCAAGTCTGGGTCTGTTTTTGAGGAGGTAATAACATTATAACATGATTAAAAGCTCACAAGAGTCAATTTTGCGTAATTAAAATCATACTGTGGAACATTACAGGCAAAGCAATAACATCTCCGACGAAACCCGCACTAGAAAAGTTACGTAGTACAGCTTTAACTTTAAAACAGATTTTTTTATTGCTACATTGGATCCTGAAGCATGACAGAGGATTAGAGGCAATGTTCACAGAAACTTTTACCGTGATATTAAAGTTCCACTATGTCGCTTTTCTGGTGGAGTGTTCGCCATCTTCTTCTCTTCAAGGTGTTATTGCTTTGCCTGATGCCACTAAGCCGAGTTACAAGTTAGATCTGCAGACAGTGTGACCCTATTTAGATCAGAATACTTCTTTTTGGATGTATTTAAGGTAATAAACGCAAGATAGATTTAGTTTTACCGCTATAGTGTGGAACGTTCCAGACAAAGCAGTGACGTCTCCATGGAAACGAGCAGAATGTGCCTTTAATTTTGACATGTATAGTCCATAAAATGATAAAGCAAATAAATGAACATAAATGCTTCTCAACCAGCTTGCAGTTATTAGATTAGGTCTGATGGAAACTGTGCAGGTCTTACAGTAGTTGGGAGTGCTGCCTTTTCCATACAAGATTTGAAAGTATATGAAACTGAAACAAAACTGAAAATTGACTATTTTTTCTACACATAGACTGTACAAAAAAGTGGACTAAGTGAGTGTGATGTCACCCACAGCGTTCGGCTCCAGTCAAGTGAAGCTCATCGAGGTTTGCGGTTATAGGGGCGAATTTAGAGCTGAGTTCTATATTTGGAATTCTGACCAAGAGTTATGATACTACCAAAGAGCCAATCAGGAGCAAGGCTGTTGAAGGTAACGCCCCTTTCCACCCACACCGCTGGTTTAGCCATGGATCTATACATGCATCAAGAATCTCGGACTTCCGGTCATTGTGCAATTCATACTGGGAAGGATTTTCCGAAAAAGTGAGCATCAAACCGCCATGTTTGTTTTCCCAGTGGGATGCATCTATTGACAAAGCCAGTCTTTTCTAGTCTTTTGAACCATATCACTTTTGTTTCTGGTTCTGCTATTGCCATATTTTTGTTTTGGGATTCGGACATCGTAATTGTGTGGTTGTTGGATGTTCTAACAGCGGAAAACGGCTCGAGAAATAAGTTTGCGAACTCCATAAATGCAAAAGGGAATCAGATGTGTGTGACTGCAAACCTCTGTTCCCAATGGAATTGAAAAATAGTGAAAGGTGAAGGCGATGGGCAGCATTGATACACAGGAAGGACGAAAAAGGAAACCTTTGACTGCCTAAATCATCCAGAGTTTGTAGTGAACATTTTGTATGTGGAGCGACACAAAGCGAGATCCCGTTTGTTAAGCGAGATGTGCAGAAGACAAACAGGCTGAGCTGCACTTTCTTGTTCTTGTGACTTTACAGCAACATCACGTCTTGGTCTCTTTTGGAAGATGTTTCTGAAAACTTTCGCTTTGGCCTTGACTTTTTAAAATCGTAACCGAGGGAGGCATCGGGATTTTGCTTTGATGGTGCTCCACATACAAAATGTTCGCTGCAAACTCAGGATGATTTAGACAGTCAAAGGTTTCCTTTTTAGTCCTTCCTGTGAATCAATCCTGCCCATCGCCTTTGGCTTTCAATAGTTTTCAATTCCGTTGGGAAGGGAAACAGTTTGAACGTGCACCCACATATGTGTCACCACATTTAATAATTGTTCTTATAGTTATTATTATAACTATAATAATAACTATTATAGTTATTATTATAGTTATAATTCATCATTCTGTTCCTAAGACTCTCTCTATTCCGCAGGTTTGTATTTGGTTAAAAATCGCCATGAATGAAAGATTTAAGCTTTATGATACTTCCATGTTAAGAATGATAGTAGGATTTTAATGATTTGTGTAGTTTTTGGAGTTAAATCGCAGAATAGCAAGACCGGTCTGCGCGGAGCCATTGGTCGCCAGCTGGAGTGACCTAGGGGAAAGAAGGCGCCTGATTTGTCTGAGATTAATGTTGATATCTTGATTTACGAACAAAATAGTGAAATAAAAACACCAGGATCATGTAGAGCAGGTTAATACAAACATTTTAAGATCAAAATAAGGGTCCTGACAGCAGCAGTTACAGAGAGAGGGGTGACTTCTTTTCAATAGAAAGTGAACTGGAGTTGGAAGTGCGCCCATGATCACTTCCCTTTTGGACCGTGGCGGCTCGCGGGTTAGCTATGTCCATTTCTATATACAGTCTATGCTAATACAGTAGTTGGAGTGATACTTTTCCATATAAGATTTGAATATATTATGAAAGCAAGATGTTTTAACACAAACCAAAGTACAACTGAAAATGGACAATCTGTTCTACAAAGAAGTGGTGGAAAGTGGTTTGAAGAAGAATCGTAAATGAACAGGTCCAAAAATGTCAAATTTTAAACAAATCTTTTGTATCAAAACAACCCAAAGTTCCCTTAAAGTCATGGAGTCCTCCTCAGTCTTACCGAGCGAATGTGCAAATATCCGGTAACGCCAAAACCAACTTAAACAAATTTACCCATAAAAACATCTTGTGCAGTCCATAACTCGCCGACATCTTCCACAAACCATACATGCAGGGCTCAATGGTTTTATATTGTGCAGAAATTGGCTGTAATTCATTTATGTGCCACTGTTTCTCTATTTTGTTTAACGAAAATGTATAATTGTAACAGACTATTTAGAACAGTTCTTAAAGAGGGGGTATTTCACTGCGAACATAACATATTTAGGTCACCAAGTCACCTGTTATTGTTTTGAAAATGCTATATTTGTCCAAAATAATGCTCTGAGTCACTCCCCCTTCAGAGCACTATCAGAACACACCACACAGCAAAAACTGGAGGGTTCAAATTTCAGATTTGACTATAACACATAAAGTGGTATTTTCCCAATTTGAAAGTTAAATGGGGGTTTGATTTGGGGTTATTTGCCAGAGTTGATATAGTAGAAGTTAACTCAACTTCCCTTAGTGTTAATTTGAATCCCGTGTATCATTTGTTCATTCGTTTTTCAAAATAAAACCAAAAATAAGAAAATGAAAAAAACAACGATTTTCTTCATTATTTAGCTCCAAAACCAAAATGAAAAAAAAAAGGATAACAATTAGTTTTTTCTGTTTTCCATTTTTTGTTTAAATGAATGATGAAAAAAAAGGTTAACGGCCAAGAGTCAGTCCTAGTTTAGTCCTGGTTCAGTCTGTTTGTGGCACAACAGTCCAGCATCTCGATCGATGTTTCTTCAACTCAATAAATAATGTCTGTGAAGTGATGACGTATATTTGACAGGAAAGTTGCGTCTGTGAATTCATATTTGTACTGAAGAAAGCCTAATGTTAAATTTTCATTTTGTGATTGTAATTCTTGATGTAGTAACTTTTCAGTTTCGTATTCTGATGGATAAAATGCACACAGCACATTTTATGTACGACTGGACTGATTTGAGAGTTTACAAATAATTATTTTATGCTCAACTACAGCCAAATATGCACGGATTTCCCAATACGTGTGGATTTCTATGCTATGCACATATCATTGTTTATAGTGTTATTTTGTTAACATGATGGTTTAAAATGTTAGACAAGCGCAGTTTAAGTCACGAAAACAGGAAATGGCCATTTTCCCTTTTTTCCATTATTAATTTAAACACAAAATAAATAAAAAAAAAACAAATCATTATCTGTTTTTTCATTTTGGTTATGGAGACAGATAATGAAGAAATTAGTTTCATTTTCTTATGTTTGGTTTTATTTTGAAAAACGAAGGAACAAATGATAACTAAAATAAAGAGTAAAAATAAAACACCTCTGTGTGTTGTTGAGCTAAATCAGGAAAACCCTACAAAATGTTATGTTCATTCTCAAAACATTAATATAACTCTTGATTTCGGGGTTAAACATTAACTTTTGTCCAGTGTTACTTAATTTAACATTTCCAAAAGTATTAAATTAACTCTAGAACAGATTGAACTCATATAAACCCTGAGAAAATGTTTAAACAGATTTTGTGAGAGTTATCATCATCATCATCATCATCATCATCTTTATTCTGGACTCATGGTCCATTTAAAAAACAGACAAGGACAAAGTTAATTTTAACACTCCACTTTTTGCTGTTTACTGCACATCGCATTGGGTTTGTGAAATTGTTGCAAACAGTTTTGTATCATTTTTTGTATTTTTATGAAGAATCATCGTGAATAATGTGGTAGAAAGCTCCAAAAAGTGGATTTTGCATCATACCCCCTCTTTAATCTTTGGTTTATGTTGTAACTTGTGAAAAATTGTTAGCTAAAATATAAATGATGGATTTTGAGAGCCTTCATATCAAATACTTTCTCTTCATTCGTCTGTTTTATAGTTACATAAATTGATGTAGAAGAGATTTTATGATCCTTTTTATATTAAAATGAAGACTGACGCTGACACCACAAATACTACACTGTTTAAAAAGGCTTTGATGTAATAATGTGATGAATTGTTGTAAAAATGTGTAAAACCAGAATAAGAAACTAGATAATATGAGAATTTGGGGAGATTCCACAGATCCAGGGGTTGGCTGAGTCCTGTTTCCATGGTGACAGTCAGAGCTGGGATGGGGTCATGTGGAGGTGAGAGTGGGGGGCGCTGTTGCTGTGTACCAGGCCCGGCCCGCTCGGAGTCTGGCTGTGGTTGTGAGCGCCCCCCTGTGGCTGCTGGAGGATGTGCACCACGCGGCTCAGGGACTCGGTGGAGGCGAAGGCCAGATACTGACAGCAGAGCCAGTCCTCCAGCGCCACCCCGCACCCACAGTCCATCGAGCGCTCCGCAAACTTGATCATCATTAAAGTCCTCTTCAGGTCCAGCCAGTTCTGCAGAGTGGCCTCGCAGTGTGCTGCCCCCGACAGGTTGCCCGCGGTACTGCAGCCCAGAGCGGTGAACAGGTCCTCCCTGGGCCCCCACAGCAGGCACTGCAGACACGCCCGGGCGTCCGACATACGGATCCTCTCGGTGGGGTTGACGGTGAGCAGGAGCCGGGCCAGCCTCTGCAGACCCTGGGAGTAAAGTGAGCGCACGGGCAGAGGAGGCAGGTCCGCCCACGTGTACTCCCGCTCCTTCAGCTCTGGGTGCTCCTCAAACGGGTTGGGCCGGTGCAGCATCTCGTAGATCAGGATTCCCGTCTGGAACTCGTCGCACTTCCTGTACTGAGTCGCTGTGATGATCTCAGGGGCCAGACGAGACTGGTCCCTCAGGGTCCCAGGGTCCACCATCAGAGAGGACTTCTGTTTGGCCTGAGAGAAGTTACTGATGATGAGGCGGGCGGGGCAGGTGGAGCTGGAGACAGCATTAGCCGTAGCATTAGCCGTAGCATTAGCAGCGCTCTGGTTAGCCGTAGAATTAGCAGTGTTGGGGTTAGCTGTAGCATTAGCCGTGCTTAGGTTAGCCGTGGACCCATTGCTGCTGTTGTTGTTGGGCTCGGAGGGGTCCTGGCCTGTAGGGGGCGGGCTGTGCACCAGCAGCAGGTTCTCGAGGCGCAGGTCACAGTGTGTGACCTGGAAGGGCTTCATGTGCTCCAGCCCAGAGCAGAGCTGCAGCAGCAGGAGACACACCTGCCTCTCGTACAGCTCGGGGTTCAGAGTGTGACGAGACACGCCCTCGCGCACAAAGTCCGCCACCGTCTGGAAGGGCACCTCTCGAGTGATCACCACCACACGGCTCCTCAAAGACCCACAGCTCAGGCCACTGCTCGAGGCCTCCTCTGGTTTAACACCGTCTTTGTCGTCTGTGGGTTTAGCTTCATCACTTTCTTTGTCTTTCTGTCCCTCTTCCTCCTCCTCTTCTTCGTCCTCCTCCTCTTCCTCCCAGGGCAGCAGGCGTCCAGGGACATCAGCCAGGAAGTGTCCACAGTCCTGTTGGATGTTGAAGTGCAGGGGCAGACTCTGTCTCACGGCCAGACTGTGGAAGAACTGCTGCTGCGTCCCCTTCACTTTACTCCTGCAGATCTGAAACACACAGAACACAACAGTCACCAATCACCATCACTCACATTAAACAAGAGCTCTGTTTCAGAGGAGGCACAGGAACCAAAAATACAGAGTAGGAATAATTTGACTTCAAAATAATATTATTCAGCATATTCAACATACAAACTAGGAGTGCAAGAAATTATTCAAGTAAGCTAAGAGTAAAAAAGTATATGGGGAAAGTACTGGTACTACTCAAGCTGATATGCAACAGTGATTCCATTACCACGATGATAAAATAAATAAATAAATAAATAAATAAACAAAACTTTATTCAGATAATAGAATGTAATTTTCAACATTAAATCATAGTACTTTCTTTTATAACACCACGTTATATGTGTATAATCCTTCAGTGGTCCAGGTAGGTTCCTTGGGCGTATCTACAGTACAGTATGTGGTTTTATACTTTACTACTACTACTACTACTACCACCGTTACTATTCAGGAAAGGTTTATTTCTGCCCTGTGAATGTGACTTTTTTAGTATTGATACCTGCTCCAATGAGTATTTAGTTTCATTACGAGTTTAAGTATTGATTAGTTTAGGGTGACCGTATTTCCATTTGTAAAAACCTGGACACCTTACCGGGGGTGGGGGGTGGGGCCTCGTCACTGAGTTACTCTCAAGCTCGCAAACTGTGCACATGACCTCCCAAAGTGGGTAATTTCTAGTACAATCATCGTTAAATGCACATCTGCGTTTCAGCATGTTGCAGGCTGACCGTCTGTTTGTGTCTGCTCGCTCCTTCTGAGTTACTGAGAGCTACAAGAGACGCTCAATTTAATGACCCCAATGAAAGGTCATGAAAACCCAGACATTTACATCACTTGATAGGTGAGTTTCAGCTGACGTCATTGTTATTAAAAGCCCGCGTTGCATGCTGGGAAATATTTTGTTCACAGGCAAGAAACACGATAGCGGTCAAACACAGTGCGTAACCTCATGTATTTCTCCCCGATAATGGTAAATTCCTGCTGCATTATCGGATGCACAAATAGAAGCACAGAAGAAGGAAAATGTCTTTTTCGTATTCTGAGTGAAAAGAACCGCTAACGGTGAATTAAACGGCTTTCAAACATCCTCAGAGCAAACGTAGAAGATCCTAACAAACCGTGGACTCCAACAAGTTCAACAACACATCGAGACTCTTGGAGGTTTTCATCTTTTCTGCTGTGAATGGCCCAGGAGTTTCCACCAAGTCATTGTGGATATCACCCAAGTGAATGTTTGTCCAGGTAGTTGGCGATTCAGACCAGAAATTTAGTTTGGTCCACCTTTTGTCGGGGTTGAAAAGGGTGATTTGGCTCCATCGATGCTTATGACCAATTTCTGGTCAAATGGTCTTGGGTCCTCTGCCGTTAGAGTGGATAAATAACCGGGATCAATACCCTTTACGTGCTTTCTCGCTCCGTCTGTCATGTTGTATTAGTGTTTCTTGCCGCTGACCAAAATAATTCCCAGCATGCAACGCGCGCTTTTGTCAACAATGAAAGTCGCCTATAAACAAAAAACAAAAAACAGACACAAAGGACAACACACAAAAAACGGACATGTCCGGGGAAAAACAGACATTTGGTCACCTTAGATTAGTATCTGATTTTTGACAACCCTGCTTACATAAAAGACAGTACTGCATTATGGTCATTATTAGTGTCTTAGAGGTCTGACACTGGACGAATGATAAAATGGGGATAGAATTATAAAAACATTAATATATATGCGCCAAAATAACTGTAAAATACAAATAAATGTCAAAAATGACAAAGCTGGTCTTGATTTGGTCTCGATGGGTTGTAGTCTTTGTCTTGTCTCAGTCTCGACCCACAGAGGTCTTGGTCTTGTCCTGGTCTCGGGACCCTCTGGTCTTGGTTTCAATTAGAGCGGTCTTGACTACAACACTAGCCATTACACATTAGATAAAAACATTTAGTGACGCAGTACTTTCCCCTCGTCTGTATAAAGTAGCTGATGAGTTGCGTTGCTCTCTGCGCGTGTGACTTTGGCCCTGGTGGTCTGTGGTCTTTGGTCTGTGGTCTTTGGTCTGTGGTCTTTGGTGGGTTTTGTGCAGGTTTGATGAGAGCGTCAGAGCCGTGCAGCGCCCTCACTTTTAACACGGGCCGTCCTGTGTCATGCTCCAGGAATGTGCTGCTCTCCTGTCTGTTTAAACATGTCAGCCCCGCCACAATATTGTTCCAACTCTGACACCTCCAAACAATACTCTCTTCCTCACACACTTCGTCGTCTTACGTTCAAGAAATGTCACTTTTTAGCCTCTTTTTTTCATTTTGGCTGTGTTTACTGAACTAAAAAACACTGGAAACTTATCCTGACTGTGAGCAGGCTTGCATCTCCACAAACCTGACGCTTATTTGGCATGGGGGAAATGTTCCTTTGGCTATAATGTTTCACAGTTTGGCATAAAGAATGTTCTGAAGTATAGTTTTAACTTTCTATTTCCATGGAATCAAAGAGCTGACTTTTCACCTCCAGAAAGTTACAGACTGTACTTTTAAAATACTAATACTAAAAATGACTTGAAATTAAAATAAATCTACAGCGTCTCTTAGTTTCATTACTTTTATTGACTGTGGGTAATTAAGGATGCTCATTATCTTTGGCTACTTTCTGCAGATTTACAGGTCGAATCATGTTGGTGCTTCATCTCGTTTTTAATAAGGACAGTTACTTTAATAATCGCAAAGTAAATGCAAAATCAAGTGTTAGTGCTAGTCTAGGCCTGGTTTAGTCCTGATTTAGACATGGTTCAGACTTGGTATAGACCTGGTTTAGGCCTGATTTAGACCTGATTTAGACCTGGTTTAGACCTGATTTAGACCTGGTTTAGTCCTGGTTTAGACCTATTTTAGTCCTGGTATAGGCCTGGTTTAGACCTGATTTAGACCTGGTTTAGACCTGATTTAGACCTGATTTAGACCTGGTTTAGGCCTGGTTTAGACCTGTTTTAGTCCTGGTTTAGACCTGTTTTAGTCCTGGTTTAGACATTGTTCAGACCTGGTTTATACCTGATTTAAACCTGATTTAGACCTGGTTTAGACCTGGTTTATACCTGATTTAGACCTGGTTTAGACCTAGTTTAGTCCTGGTTTAGACCCGATTTAGACCTGGTTCAGACCTGTTTTAGTCCTGGTATAGGCCTGGTTTAGACCTGATTTAGACCTGGTTTAGACCTGATTTAGACCTGATTTAGACCTGGTTTAGGCCTGGTTTAGACATTGTTCAGACCTGGTTTATACCTGATTTAAACCTGATTTAGACCTGGTTCAGACCTGGTTTAGACCTGATTTAGACCTGATTTAGACCTGGTTTACACCTGGTTTATACCTGGTTTACACCCGATTTAGACCTGGTTCAGACCTAGTTTAGTCCTGGTTTAGACCTGATTTAGACCTGGTTCAGACCTAGTTTAGACCTGGTTTAGACCCGATTTAGACCTGGTTCAGACCTAGTTTAGTCCTGGTTTAGACCTGTTTTAGACCTGGTTTAGACCTGGTATAGACTAGTATAAACCTGCTTTAGTTCTGAGTAACATTTTCTTATGTTTTTGGGGGTTATAGGATGAGATGTTAATATCTTGTTGGGGGGTCCGCTACCTGCTTGTTTCATGAAAATTGTATTGTGTTGCCTAGAATGTTCCACAGTATAGCATTAAATTTAATGATCACTTCAATTCATCACTTTCTCAACTTTCAAGAACCCGAGACACATTCTCTCCATTACAACTCCATCGTTCACATGGAGAAAAGCCAAGCCGCATTCAGACTCATTATGTCCATATTAAAATGACATGATGTATCTGAAAACACGCCTCTGGTTCAGTAACATCTGAGGAGCTTCTATTAGCTGGAGGAGCTGGGGAAAGTGTAATTGGCTGCTACTCTTCTCCCCGCTGCCTTATTTATTAAAGTGTTAGAGAAAATACATGGAAGCCTCTGGAGCTGTCTGCTAATACGAACACTCGGCTTTGAAGTGCACTGGAGCAGGGGAAGTGAATAATGCTGCCTTCATCTCTCTGCTGCTTCTGACTCCAAGTGAATACGACAGGGTTTCACTGTTTTATCATTCTGACTTGGGTTGGTGGGATGGTATCAGTGGTAATATCTTTTTTAGCTTAGTTTTACATGAGTTAAGAGGTGGTTTGTGGAAACATTTTGAGAAGAAAAGTGCAAAAATATAGAAGTAGTGCTGACTTCTAAAACAGAATAACTATATGTCAACAACATGGAAAATTTCATCTAAAATGCAAGGACCATTTATGCACCAAGAAGACATTCGATGAAAATAAAGATGTTGTGATTTCTTTCTAATCATAACTTTAAAAACTATTAAAAAAAAACAAAACGTTGTGGCTCCTGTTAACATTATGGTTGCTATGTAACAGTTACAGGGGACGCACTGATCCAGCTTCTAATACTGATTCTGACACTATAGCTTTAAGTCTCTGCAGATGTCTGATGTTAACCAATACCAATGCAGCAACTGAAAACAGCATTTATTTCCTTAAAACAAAAATAAAATAAGACTGAACTGATCCAAATGGGTTATGGAGCTGTTATTTATCTCTCAGAGCAACTTTGTATAAATGCAACTATGACCAGGAAATTGTCTTATTACTGTATTTTTCAGACTATAAATCACACTTTTTTCATAAATTGTGTTAGGGATGGACATTTGATGAAATTTTCTTAATCGATCGTCGGAAGAATTAACGATCGATTATCGATTAATCATTAATGTTTTTATATTAAAATGATCATCATTATTATTACTATCTGCAGTACTAATCTGCATAAATAAATTCAACTTTACGACATATAAACATAACGACTCTAGAGCCACATCAGCCGTTTGACATTATAATGTATTCAATTCAGTTTTTTTTCTGTCTGCGCGCTCCTTCTGAGTGCAGAGAGCTACATGTACAGACCCCTCTTTGGTCACGCTACACACAGCAACCTACATTCGCTTTGTCGATTAAAATTAACGTAAACAATTAAATTCTTAATGATCAATTATCGATTAATCGATTAATCATGCCCATCCCTAGTTTGCGTGTTTCCTGCGACTTATACTCTGGGGCAACATATAAATTTAAATCCTCACACTGACAGCCTCAAGAGGGCGCTCTGTGTGTCAGTATCTGCTGCTGCTATTACTACTGTCAGTTCGCCCTCTACTGCGCTGGTCTCCTGCAGAAAAAGCCGCTGTCCTGCTGCAAGTAGTGAAATCTGCAACGGAAAACGGTAATAGAGCAGCAGATAGAAAGTTTGGAGTGAGCGACAAAAACTTGTGACACTGGGAGGATGCACCATGCAACTTTCCTGAAGACACTGGATGGATGAACAAAGCCTGGACTTCAGTGACACTGAAACCATCCTGTCGGGATTCAGAAAGACAGGAATAATTCTAACTGGAACTGATGCTGAGTTTGACAACAGCTGCACAGAAGAGGAAGCAACGTTTGTTTACCTCCGGAGATCACGGAGTTGCTCAGTAGTGACACAGAGGATGAAGAATTGAATGTATTTAGTGATTTGGAGTGAGATGGAGAGTTTGGTAAACTTGTTCTGTTCTGTTGTTTATGTTATAGTTTATCTGAAGAACTGTTCATATGTGACGTTAACAGTCTGTTGTTCTCTGTTCTATTGTTATTACTATTATTACTATAACTTGCCTTTCAGGATGAAATGTCAGTTCTTGGTCTCTGATTTTATAAAATACATTTCTCCCCATAGTCCGGTGTGACTTATATATGTTTTTTCTTCTTCCTTGTGCATTTTTTGGCTGGTGTGACTTATACTCTGGAGCAACTTATAGTCCGAAAAATACAGTACATCAATTTATCTGTCCAACTGGGATATCCGCTGAACTGATTTAGAAGCTGATATCCAATCCAGCAAAGTTTTCAGCATCTGCGCTGAAATGCAATACCGGTATCAGTATCGGTGCATCCTTTGGAAAAACCTCTATGTATGTTATATCTGCTACCCATGTCCAACCAGGAAGTAAAGTAGTAAAGTAGGAAAAACTAGGCTTTTTAGATTTTTGTCACATCTTAAAATATATCGCTCAGTTTTAGTAAAATGAGTCTAACCTGTCTACACTTTAATCTGTATAACGCCGCCTTCATCTTTCTCTACTTGGTTTCATTTAAAGGTTGTATGGAGGATTTTTTTTTTGTTTTTGTTTCAAATTGTCAATGAAAGTTTAAAATACCATTACAGGGACGCAGCAGCCTTGTAATTATGATGACCAAAAAAAAAAAAAAAAGAAAATCTATCAACTGTGGATGTAGTGAGGCCAGATAAAAATCAGCCAATAGAAAACGAGGCTACCTCATTTTCTATTGGCTGTTACGTTGTCAATCAAACTCCCTACGTTTCTAGTGTAACTGACTCGTCAACGGGATTACGTGGTTTATGCAGCGGTTCTTAGAGGCTTTTTCAAACTGTCGCTTCCTTGCAATTCGCACAAAGTTTGTCGTGATGGCGGACGAGAATCCACGACCAGTTCGCTGCAAAATAAAGTAAGTTTTTGAGGTCGCTGAAAGAAGAAGAGAAGAGGAAAAGGAGAAAGACAAACTGAGGTGATTCTTGGAGATCTCTTCCAGCGATGACGAAGGGTCTAAAAACTGACGCATCGGTCGCTAAATTATTTCTAGACGGGTCACTTCAACAGTAATTCTGAACGCGCACTGGCTGTAAATGTGATTTCTGGAGGAGATGTTTCTACTGAGGTAGCTGTGGAGGAGGAAGGTGGTGTCACGCATGCACATTTGAAAAAGAACTGTCGCTGTATTTCTCTTTCCATAAAAAAATCCTCTATACACCCTTTAATAAAGGTTTTCCAGGAAGTCCAGGTTATTTGTTCTCAGTAAAGAGGTAAACATCAGGTCCAAACACAGAGGAGCACAGTGAGACGTACAGATGTGAGCAGTGAACAGACACAAGCACACAGCCTCGGGGCAGCCGTCTGCACACATCTATTTGCAGTAAGTGGATTGGGCAACTCCAGGCCTCCAAAAACAACTGTTCCTGCTGCAGTTACAACGTGGGAAGCATCACATTTAGCACGTTCGGTCACAAATATAACATTCTTTACATTCCACCCTGAGACATTCTTCAACTGCTTTGAGCCCTGCTGTTTTAGAACGACCATCTGTACTGGCCTTTGTTCAGACTCACCTGCACTCTGGTCTGCACACACCCGCTCATTCAGTCTTATTCTACTTTCTACATTTTAGATACAGAATCCATATATCATGTTTATATTAGGGACTGACTGATATGGATTTTTTTTATATTTTTTTTGCAGCCAATATGACACCAATAAAACGCCGATATAAAAGCCAATATATTTAGTGATGGAAAAATTAACTATAAATCTTCAATTGATTATAAAACTTAGGTTTGGTTCTACCGGATTTTAAATTGGGTTTATTTAGGCGACATTTATTGTTATTCTGCATATTTACGTCATATTTCAAGATGGTAAGTCGGACTAATGGCATTTTAGAGAGACATTCTAGCCAGTAAAAAAGTAAGTAAACTACCGCTATCATTATAATTAAGTATATGTGTAAATACAGATCATTCACACCTTTATTCACAACTCATTTACATATCAGTGCAGGTCTATAAACATATCTACAGCCACTACAGTCACTTTACAATAGGCCAATAGAAGAAAACAGGCTGTTTATGTGGGAGCTACAGCAGCTAAACAATGAGAGAGAACCAAAGTAGTAGTCAATCCTGACTCAAAAAGATCGACCGTAAAAATAATATAATCCAGCATGTTACGGCAGATGTGTGTGTAAACAACTGCATGTGAGTGACGTGAGTGTGGGGGTGTGTTCAGGGGCAGCACGGCATCACACACCAGAAGTGGGACCAAGCCGTTGTTTTGCAAGTCTCAAGTAAGTCTCAAGTCTTTGACCCCAAGTCCAAGTCAAGTCAAATACAGGCAAATCCAAGTCAAGTCTTGAGTCACTGGCCCATACGTCCAAGTCAAGTCCAAGTCATCTGCTTTGAGCTTCAAGTCATTTCAAGACTTTTAAGATAAATTGTACTTAAAAACAATTATAGTATATAAATAGAGTATTTATAGAGTATATAAGAGTTGTAGAATTTAATTTAGTTAATTTTTCCTTTTTAAATGTCTTGACAAGATCTTAGTGTGAATAATTAACATCAGAATAGAAAGAATTCAGATTTAAAAGTGCTTCTCAAGTCTTCACAAATCACAAGCCTTATGTCCTAGTCAAGTCCCAAGTAACTGACCTTCAAGTCCAAGTCGAGTCCCAACTTTTAGTCCATTTTATCAAGTCTCAAGTCCTAAAAATTGTGACTCAAGTCTGACTCGAGTCCAAGTCACGACTTACAAGTCCCCACCTCTGTCTGTAAATTAGATTAAACGGACATAACAAAGAAAATCTAAGCTTTATGACGAGGTATAACATGGACTATCGGCCCAGATTGGCAAGATTTAGGCTGATAGTCATTTCATATAGTTGTCATATAGATATCTTCTGCATGTATATGAACTGGGAAAAGTTGTAATCACAAAAAAGCACTGAATGAGATGGTGTGTCCAAACGTTTGACTGGAAGTGTAGATAGCATCATAAAGTTATTTATTAACAGATCTTGTGTCTATTTAAATGTGCAATCATGCCCCGCTGTATCACAGAAAAGTAAGTAAAACAGGCCTTCAACAGGATCTAACATAAGGCCAAACACGTCTATATCAGGTCAACATCCGGACTAAAGCACGAATCATGAACATTTGTGTGATGTTGGTCACACATGAGAATGTCTGTGTTTACTCGTGTGGAACCAAAATGTCATTTTTCATGAGTTGTGTGTATGTTAGTTGTGTGACTGTAGATCAGTGTGTTGTGTGTCACCAGAAAAACAAGAAATGGAAATAATTTTCGTTCCAATTAGTATTTAATGGCTACACTGAAAGAGAAAGAAACTGTTATAATTAGTGATTATCTGGAAAAATATTCATATTTGACTATACAAATGCATAGAATTATAAATACATAATAATTTTTCTGAGATTTTGAGACACTCCTGTTGCTCTAGCTCCATCCTTCACGGAGTTATGACCCAAAATACATATTTGACATTGGTTACCTTGACCTTCAAGTGACCTTGACCGGTTTCAACCTGTAACATCCAGTGTACCCCGGTTATGTGTGTGCCAACTTGTGTGATGATTGGGTGAATATTTTAGGCCTCAGATGGTTCAGAATTTGCTGAAATTGTCTATCCTTTACAATGGTGTGACCTTTCAATTGACCCGTGTGACCTCAAATGACCTCGGATCATCACCAAACTATTTTTTGTGGCATCGGGCACGGGGGCTTGACCCACTTACCAAATTTGGTGACAATCGGTCCATAAATGGCGGAATTATCGCAGGTGGACAGACACACACACACACAGGGTGGATACAAAACCTGATCAACCCTTCGGGGACCAGGTAAAAATGCAGTAAGTACATTACAAGCTCTGGACTAGCTCTCACCTTGATGGCGTAGCTGGTCGATGGATCCTTGGCGTACGATGCCGTGTAGTAGACCGCATCTCCGGCCTCACAGCAAGGCTTCCCCGTCACCAATCGAAAATCCGACCAGCTGTCCGTCCCAAACCTCAGATGGTCCTTTTGCCCCGCCATAAACCTGTCTTCACATTTCGCCGACAATTTCCTCAACGTATCCGCGTGAAGACCCCTGATTCTACCCACAACCTCGTCCCAGCTGTCCAGTCCTTTGTACAACGCAGGTTTGGGGGTTGGTTGTTGCTTAGATGTTCCACTCGCTACACCTCTGCTTTTACTGCCAGTTTTGCCTCGTCCTGCCAGACACTCCGTACTCAAGTAGCCCTTTCTTTCTCTCTGAGCCGAGTTTTGCGCTAACAAACATGACATGCTGTTCACGGGACGGCTTTTGTGGTTGCTCGGTCTTTCCAAAGAATCCCCGCTTTCTTGATCTTGCAGGCGATGAGGTTCAGAGCTAAGGGAAGAACTTTGACTCGCGGTCTCCCAAGTGGAATCCAGATCGTACAAAGGATTGGCGACGCTCAGGTTGGTGCCTCCGGGTTTGGCCTCTGCTCTGGGTTTGGGGGCGGGCGGGTCTTTCAGGATGGGGTCGGTGGAAGAGCGAGGCACGTTCTTCTTGGGTAAAGGTGGAGGGGTGGCTTTGAGAACAGGTACGTCGTCCAGGTCCATAGATGCCAGCGTGTCGTTGGAAGATTTGAGGTTGCGAGGTTGCTTCGTTGGGATCATGTTGGCTCGGGACTGACCTGGAAACAGATGAAAGATAGATAGAATAGTTTTAATGAAAATTCTACAGACTTCGACAATTTGTATAGTTTTCCTTGGTCTAAAATCCCAACATTCAAAAAAGGTCCATATTATGCAATTTTCTGATCTGTGTTAAGACCTGGAGTTGTGTTTTGTTTCATTCACAATTTCATTCACATTCTTTCCAACAGAAAACACTCTGTTCCACCTTGTGATATCATGTGGTAATACAAAAAGTTCCATACACCTTCACTAGAATCAGTTTGAACTAGAAAACACTTCATGGCATCACAAGGTGGAACAGAGCATTCTGAGCTTTGGAGATGTAGACAGACTAATAGTAAACAAGTGTAAATGAAATAAAACACAACTCCAGGTCTGTTTTTGATGAAATAACGACATTCAGGCGGTTTTATAATTCTACATCTAAACCAGGATCGAACAGAGGACTAAACCAGAACTACACCAGGACCAAACCAGGACTAATCTTGGACTAGAACTTGGAAGTGCCTTGCAGACAGGGTGTTTACAAGGTGCGATCGGGCATCAGCTGCGTTTTGCCCCATGGAGCACAGAGTTCTGCGCTGGTCCTTTCGCCCGCGGTTACCTGACGGTTTACTCTGGCGCGTCTCCTACGTTTCACCGCTGCTGATTATCACGGTGATTTTATGGAATTTGTATGAAGAAAACGAAAAACCCACCACTTCAATCCAGGTTAAAAAAGCATTGTAACACGCATTACTGACATTTGTACAGAGTAAAATATTAATTTTTTTTCACTGTAATGCCACATTACTGCGTTACATCAAAAAGCAGTGCATTACAGTAATTCATTACTTTATAATGCGTTACTCCCAACACTGGTGTTTACAAAATGAAGCAGAAAAGAGTACCGGAAATGTATCTAGAGTGGTGGTAGAGAGGAGAGCACCAATTACATTCCTTATTGTTTGCGTCGCTTCCCCTGCTTTCGGTGAGTAGTTAAAACATTTCTGAGGTGCACGCCGGTTGAGGGGGTTCAAGGCGACGCGACAGATGATTTGATGCACGACCGTAAATTGGGCTTTTACATGACTTAAAGGACCTTTAAAATGGAGATGCAGGACAGGTCAGAATTCTCAGGTGGAATCTGCTGTTTAACTATTAGATTGCAGATTTAGTGACCTGCTTCTTCTTTTTTTTATTTTTTTTATTATCTCTGTAATTATTGGGCCTATACCCACATGAAACTAGCTGAAAGTTCAAGGTCTCCCCTATCAGCACAAATAAACAAAAGTGAAATTATTTTTTCACTGTAGCTTCACAATGATTTGCTGTTATTAAAACCTAAAGACGAGATTATTTTCAAATGTGAACACACCTTTAATTAGCATTTATCAGTAACTTAATTATTATAAATACGTCTATATGTACTGTACCTCTGTAGATTTTTCAAAGCTCTTTTGTATCAAGGTTAAGTACAATAAATTCCTTAATATTTGCAAAAGATCACTGCTAAATAAAATGAGGATTCTTGTTGCCATGGAGACATTTTGGGCACTACTGACAATATCAGACGAAATGCACAACATCAAAACATGGATTAACACACATACACAATGCAATTTAATACAAAAAATATATATACATTGCAAAAAAAAAAAAAAAAGACAATAGACAAAGCACCATTAAAGAACATATAAAAAACCTACCATTAGTCTTTTAGTGTTTTAGATAAATGTTAATTATTGAAAGCGTTCCGGTGGTTATAATAGAGTCCATTTGTTCCTGTGTTAAAGCAGAGATAAAGCCTAATGAAGCCCGTGCCTCCTCTACCCAGCGCGTCTGAAACAGCTCCTGCTTCGACCGTAAAGACGAGCAATTCCGAGAGAGGGAGAGTCAGTGTGTGAAAAAAGAAGTGACTACCAAAGTAATCCAGCAAGTACCAAATATTCAGCTGATTTAGAAGAAGTTAAAGGTTCTATATTACGCAAAATGGACTCTTGTGAGCTTTAAGTCGCGTTATAACATTGGTACCTCCTCAAAAACAGACCTGGAGTTGCGTTTGTTTGACTAATCTTGGTTTATTATTTGTCTGTTTACAGCTTCGAGTTCAAAATGCTCTGTTGTACCTTTTGTTTAGGCAGTCCCAAGTCTGAAATGATCCAAATGATTCCAGTGAAGATGTGTAGAGTTTAAAAATTGGAGGGCATGAGCATATTACCACATGACATCACAAGGTGGAGCAGAGTGTTTTCAGTTTGAGAGAAGAACTGAGCCTAAATACATACAACTCCAGGTCTGTTTGTGATGAGGAAATGACATTATAACAACACACCTCAGAAAGCAGCATAATATAGGACCTTTAACACAAAATACACACTTAAAAACTTGGATGTGTCTCTTTCTGCAGGTTAAGGCATTGGCGACGCAGGTTCAATTGTGATTGTAGTACCGTATTTTTCGGACTATAAGGCGTATCAGTTTATAAGGCGCAAAATCAAAAATGTTGAATTCTCTCGTCTATTTTCATACATAATGTGCACCGGATTATAAGGCGCATTAAACAAAACAAATGGAAGATACTTGAGACTGATCCCTTAGTCCAGGCGTCCACGGTCCATCGGCAGATCGTGGTGTAACTTGCCCGGGTGTGTCTCCCTGTCTTGGTGAATGTGTATTATGAATGTGAATAGATTATTTAAGTTTGTTTTTTTATTTCCTATGAGGACGACTCAAATATACATTGAGTAATAATGTGATTAATGCAGCTTTTAGCACATTTGTTTACTTTTACGGAAATGAAACTTAAAACCACACTGTTAATTTACATAAAGGTCCAGTCAAGTGGTAACGGAGGGAAACAGGGGCAGATTTTTTACATTCAAATAGCTCTTATTCAGAAACTAGAGGGACTATTGAAATAAGTAAAGTATCAGAATGTAGGAAAGAGTTACACTCCAACAGGGTCAAGTTAAACCTGTGATATTCTTTCAAGTTGTTGACAAAAAATTAAAAAAACTCATGTCGGTAACAGAGGGAATGAAATATGCAGCACTTTTTGGGCAATAAATCCAAACAGTGATAACTCTTGGTTCTCACTTACATATCCTTAACAAACTGGTTTGAATATTTGCTTCATATAGTTTTCTACCATATGGTACAAGATTAGGTTGAAAAACCTCTTACTTTTTGAGTAATGAGATTTTTTTATTAAGAAAGGTCATGGTAACGGAGGGAAAAGTAACAGAGGGAAAATTGTGCAAACAAGTAGAAGGTGCAGGATTTTGCATAATTTGTCGCTTTTTTCTTCCGAATACTTTAATATTACTTCAATTTTTATTTTTATCATTTTAAATACATTTTTTTTGAAAAATCATGTACCTTCATCAACAGTTCAAAGATGGAATAACACAAGATGTGATGAAATACATCCATTTATTTACATGATTTGCAGGTCTTTGAAATTTGGGAAATAATTTTTGTTCCATGTTTCATACATGGTCTGTTTAAAACATATGTAACTTTAGAACCAAAAATGGTACAGAAAAAAGGTCAACAGTTTCATAAACTAGAGTACATATGCTATCTGTTGAATACATTTTTATATTAGATGCATTAACTTGAATTTTTGGCCTTGTTGTTTACTTCTGCGGCCCATAAACTAAGCACTGAAAAGAAAAAAACTGCTCACTCCTTGTGCACTGATGCGGTTCAGCTTCTGTCGGACTCTGTTAGACTCTGCGAGGCTCCTGACTACAGTAGCTGTCATCAAGAGATCCGTCTTTGTAGTTTACCAAAGTCGTACTAAAACATTTACAGAAAGAACAAAAGTGTGGCTGTTTGCTGCAGGTGTTCCAGTCAGTGGGAGCAGGTAGAGGGTGCTCTTGGAAAAAGGATCAAAACTCAAACACAACAGGACTGCAGGCACTCCCAACTTTTTTCGCCCTCTTGCGGTGTATCATCGAATCAGAAGGACGACCGAACGAGCATGCACTGAATGACCGGAATTATTTTAAAGAAGAATAAATATTTACATGATTGATGAATAAATGAATTCGGCTTTAAAATCAGAATAAACCACCCACTTACTTTGGAATTAAGCTGAATTCTGAATAATAATTTTCATAAGGAATTAAGTGTTTAAGTTGTCTTTTGAAAGGCCGAATTCATTTTTATTCAGAAATAAATTATTTTTAAACGAGACAACTGATATGTCACAATGATTTCTGCCAACCTGCAAACTGAGCTGCAGCATATATTAATCCATTTCTACAAACACCAAAGCAAAAGAAGAAGTGCATTTGAGCAGCACGCTTTGTTCATTAGTAAAATTAAAAAGAATGTGAGATTGCAATGTGGGAGTATAGATCTCCCACTACCCACAGTCTTTGGATATTTCTGTCCTCATAACTTTTTGCTACTTAAATGATTCTGCCAAATATTGTGAGTATTACATAACACGTATTTTAAGCACAGGACAGGATGTAATGTATTCTAACACAAAGATATCTTTCTTAAACCTAAAGAGCATTTCTTATTCAAGGTGATTGTGGTTCACACTCATTCACTCATTGTCTTCTCATTCTGTTAGCGGGGATAAGGTCGCTTCTGCAGCCACAGCTGCCCTGGGACAAAATGATTTCACGTAAACCGGGCGTACACTGTAATTTTTAGCCCTTTTTGAACTGATTTTTCTTTTTTTTTGTGGGTGATCGGGCCAAGTGTAACCCTCATCTGAGCCACTTTTATTGTAGCAGGTCAGTTCCGCTCTACCCTGATTTCACCCACTTCCTTTAAAGAGCCCGTCTCATGCAAAATAACTCTTTTCACATTGTGTCTTCTGCACATAAACAAGCACAATTTGGGTTTTGGAACATCCATTACACAATAGTTATGAAATCTTACTGATTTCTTGGAGGCAGTCACAGACCAGGAACTATGAAAGGCCGACTATTGCTCATCCCCCCGCCCGTCCTGAGAAAGCACAGGCTCCGCCCTCCAAACATGACGTAGGCTATAAGTGAGCCGCCCTTCCTCCACCCATCTCAGGGAGGGAGGGGGAGACAGGCGTGCACCCTGATAGTGGTAGGAATAAACTTTTATTCATCATGGAGATACAGCGCCTTATGTTTTGGACCTGGAATCGGATGAGGACTTTGAGGTGCACGAAGCGCAAGCACCATGTTGACATCTGCTGAACATTACTGATTTGGTAAAGTATTACTAAACACTAGTAGATAAACTTATTATATTGTGTACACTGCAGTGTAGAACAATGAGCTTTTGTTTAGGTGTTCATCTTTATGACAGTTTAAGACATTATTAATTTGATCATATATTCAAATATTCTACTTATAAAGCTGTTTAAACAAATAAATATTTTCTTTAAGGTACAGAAGGTGTAATTGGGCAAACTTGAATCCTATAATAATGTTCGATCAAATGAGGAGGTCATAATGTGAACAGGCAACTACTGAACATCAGTGGTCGTAATGACTGGGATGTAATCACCATTTTGTTATCGTGCAGAAGCAGTGAAGACAACTCACTAGAATAAGAAGTAGGCTTGTTGTTAGCATCAATGTAATATCGTGGGACTACATAACTTTTGTCAAACTAAAACAGGTAGAACAAAGGAGTTGACATGAACGCTGCAGTTTGCTTTTAGTTCTCTCTGGTTTATTAGAGGTAAACTTACAGATCTAGTATCATCATCACTGGACCCTGTTACTGTGGGAACAGCATCCTTTTCCAAAGTGTCACTTCTGCTTCGTTGTAAATCCAGTTTTAAAATATCCATAGTTCTTGAAGCGTCTTCGGTGAAGTGTCGCCCGCAAACAAAAATATTCTTGGGGACTTTTTTGTCTGTGTTCCCAGAAATAAACTCCAGTCATTTAGCACGTCATGCTTCTTCTGTCGGCATGCTAAATCATTTCGACTTCCAATCGCAGCCAAATACGCACTTTCTCCATGAGGACATGGTTACAAAAAGCGTGTTTGAAGCAAAAAATAAAGATAAATAACGCAGAACAGCAGACCTGGTGGAGGCGGTGGAGACAGTGGAGCAGGGGAGAGGGGGGCGGGTGTGAAGCGCTCTCTGCTACGTCAAACGCGAGATAGCTGTAGCTGGCTACGTCATCACTGTAGCAGGCTCATGTTCGTTGTCACGTGGGAGGGTGGCAGAAATACGCTGCAATTTGTTAAAAAAAACTCAGAATCAATCTAAAAACCACTTCGGCGACATATCCAAGGCCCACACATCACTCTTAGAAGGTAGAAAGCTCTGAAAAGTTGATTTTGCATGAGATGGGCCCTTTAAGTTGCAGGGTCACGGTGTCACTTCCTCCTCCTCCCCCGCTCCGCTGTGGCTGTGGCGTGATCTGGCGTCGGCAAACAATTCTCCAAACTTTAAAACTACGGATCTACATCATTAATACTTAGGTGAGTGTTTTGCCACAATCTCAGAACGCTGCCGATTCAATAACAACCTGTTACGTTGCCACTAAACTACTTAAAACAGTCAAAATCTCTAACGCCTACTTCTCCGATTCCCATAGCGCCTCCATACACGTTCTAGCACACGGGCCGGGCATGAGGAGACGAGTAAAGTCCGGAATTCTAAGGTACCCGATTTCTCTTTTGTGATATGAAGAAAGCCGAAATGTAGATAACAGGTCAACATATTTAGTCACGACCTTAATTATTTTGTGCAGTTTTAGCACATTTTCCAGTATTTTTTCAAACTCCAGTAGAGTTTGTTTATCATTTTATATTAATATAATGATATTGCGCGATATTTGAGTTTATCGGCCTCTGCTTGGGCACGTTTGATCACTTTTTGATTGTTTTAAGATAATTTAAGTGCACTTATTGAACAATTAACTTACTGAACGATTAACTTACTGAACGATTAACTTACTGACTTGTTGAATTATTGAATTATTAATTTACAAATTTATTGCCTTACAGATTTAATGTTAATTGTAATTAATTGTTAATTGTTGAAATGGTTAGCCCTGCTACATGACTGCATTTAATTTGTCCAATTACTATTGATGTGTATTCTGATTAATTCATCAACTGATTAGTATTTTGGATAATGATTCATTGAATATGAACTATTCACTAATGCTTATATGTTTGTACATACATTGAATTTATTTTGGGTTAGTTAAGACCTAGTAATGTACTTTTATTTAAATGATATTCATTTGTGTTCTTTTTGGCCTTTTAGGTCAGGTTTTTTTATATGGACTGATTCAACTCTACCTCAACTTCACCACATTCCTCAACTCAACTAAAAACATATTGATGGCGAGCTATACCCTGAACTTGCATTAAAATACCTCAGATTATACGGACTATACCCAAAAAGTGCAATAACTGGACTGATTTCTATTTAATTTTTTTTATTTTGTTCTTCAATTGTTGTCTTTGCATTATTTGTTTAATTTATTGTGATATACTTCACAAAAACTTTACACTCTGTCTCTGGTCTCTTCACTCAAACTCAGGCCCCTAAAAGAACAAATCTTCTGGTACAGATTCTGTAGCCATGGTCTGCCCCAAGACCTAAAATTTGCATTACACAAGTTTTGTCTTAATCGTGTGTCATGCAGTCGTGATTTGTAGTATACATGGGACAACGCAAACCAATTAATACCTCGCGACCAGCTCCCGATTGGCAATCGTAGGTCACAAGAATATCAAGAATATCAAATGTTTGAAATCCAGTCACCTCTGAGGGTTTTACACCGAGCAACAGATCGTACAGTGTGAGAACATGAACTGTGAAATATGAACTTTTAAACCCTGAGATTTGGTCGTACAGTTTGAGCTGGGGCTGAGTGAAACCATCGAAAATATCACACAGTGTATGTCCGGCACTTTTACCCACAACCACATATTTACACAAGCAAAGTGTCTTGCCCAGGGACACAACGTCACTGTGCAATGGTGGAAGAAGGTAACCTGACGGAGATTCATTCTTGCAATGTTTGTAAGTTCATAAACTGCTTACTTCTACTTTGCAGTGACATCATGCTGGGGGTGTTCTACTTGTATCTCTATGGTGGAATGTTCAGCAGTTACCATGGTGACACAATGCCCACATTAGTAACCACTGTCAAAAAAGATTTAAGATATGAAAAATATGAAAATGGATTAAACAGCACAGGAGCCTGCGATCAGTCCGAGTGTTCACGGTCCTGTCAAAGTGTTTGAATTTCTACAAAAAAGGTGAGAGTGACTAACTGAAAAACAAATTTTATGTGTGAGATTTGTTTCACACAAATCCACTCTCCTAATATAGCTCCAGCGAAGTCAGTTTTTTATGGTCACATCGTGTTAAAACAAAGCTCAGGTAAAAGTCCCACGGGGTCCGCCGCTTATTCCGACATCCCTTCATTCCGACATATCTCTATGTAGGCGTGACTATTCCGACATGTCATTTTTAAATTTTTACTTTTTTTGAGAGTTGCGATAGTCTATGCAGGTGCGTCTCTCGCTGTTCTTCGATGTTCAACAAATATCAAGTCACACACAAAACCGATACACACAGTAGCCAACTTCATAATGAAAGCATCTTATGATATATGGGAGCGCAAAGTATACTAGGCTATCACTACCGTATTTTTCGGATTATAAAACGCAATATCCGAAATGCTGAATTGTCTATTTTCATACATAAGGTGCACTGGATTATAAGGCGCATTAAGGGAAACAAACTGACGACTGAGCCCAGGGGTCCACAATCCAATGGCAGATCGTGGTGTAATTCGCCCGGCGTTGTCTCCCTGTCTTGGTGAATGTGGATTATGAATGTGAATATGGGTGGATCATTTAAGTTAGTTTTTTAATTTCCTACGCAGAGGACTCAAATATACATTGAGTAATAATGTGTTTAAAGCAGCTTTGCACACATCTGTTTACGTTTTACAGAAACAAAACATAAAACCACATGGCTCATTTGCAAAAACTATAAGCGCTGAAAAAAACAGCTCGCTCCTTGTACGCTGATGAGGTCAGCTTCTTTTGAACTTAACCCGTGAGGCTCCTGACTTCAGTAGCTGTAATGCTCTGACAATCCATCAAGCGGTGCAGCTTTGCAGTTTACCAAAGTCGTACTAAAACATTTTGACAGATTTTTGAGCGCCATGTACCACATAAAATCAGTTCGAGGTCAGTAAACACAACCAGAATTAATACATAAGGTGCACCAGAGTATAAGGCGCACTGTCGATTTTTGAGAAAATTTAAGAATTCTAAATGCGCCTTATAGTCTGAAAAATACGGTAATATTATTCATACCTGAAAAGCAGAATGTTTGAAAAATAGTAAAGTGCTGCTACTCCAGCAATTTAAAAAAAGTCAAATTAGTGGGATGCTTGAAAAATACTGTTTATGCTGTTACTCCAACAATTATCCAGATGTTTTATCCAAAGTATCCAGATGTTTAGAGTATGTGAACGTGACAAAAGTGCGTCTCACCGAGGTTGCTGTAGGTGGCGCTGCACTGGCTGGAGGCGGGAGAGTGGGAGTGGTTGGACGGCTCTTCCTCGGGCTCCTCGAGGCTGGCGCTGCCCTCACTGAGCGCGGCGGAGATCAGGGCCTGGTTTATGAGCTCGTCCCCCAGAACCAGACCCAGGTCCACTTTGGAGGGAAGCGGCGTGATGCCCCTGAAGTCCACATCTCGAGAGCGGCTCGCGGGCACGGGGACTTGACTGTGAACAAGAGACAAATGTTCAAGTGGGACTGAACATCTAAACTCTGCCCACGACGTATCAAACACAGCTGCGAAAATGGGCACTACCTGGCGGACTAAAGGGAAGAGTGATGGGGGGAGGAAGGGCGGGGTCTGAACGACTAAAGGGAAGAGTGAGGGAGGAGGAGGGGCGGGGTCAGGAGGACTAAAGGGGAGAGTGAGGGGGGAGGAGGGGCGGGGTCAGGAGGACTAAAGGGGAGAGTGGGCAGGGGGGTCTGGAGGACTAAAGGGGAGAGTGAGTGGGGAGGAGGGGCGGGGTCTGGAGGACCAAAGAGGAGAGTGGGTGGGGGGGTCTGAAGGACTAAAGGGGAGAATGGAGGGGAAGGCAGGGTCTGGAGGACTAAAGGGAAAGTGAAGGGGGAGAAGGGGTGTGGAGGACAAAAGGGGAGAGGGGAGGTGGAGGAGGGGTCTGGAGGACTAAAGGGGAGAGTGAGGGGGAAGAGGGGCAGGGTCTGGAGGACTAAAGAGGATCATGAGGGGAGGGGTCTGGAGGACTAAAGGGGAGAGTGAGGGAGGGGCGGGGCCTGGAGGACTAAAGGGGAGAGTGAGGGTGCAGGAGGGGCAGGGTCTGGAGGTAAAAGGAACAGTGTGGTTGAACAAACAGGTATCCACACTTCAGACTCGACCCCTGCAGCCTGTTTGTATCAGAAATACCTGTCTGTAAATCAAGGCAATGCTGTGTGATGTCACCAACTACAAGTACCTGCAGTGGCCACTGGAGGCAGCACACACTCCGTTTTATAACTGTGTATAATTTTGACCAAAAAATGACATGGAACAGTAGACCATGTTATTTAAACTCCATGTGCACAGTGATGTAGCAGCTCTAACAGGGATGGGCAGTTCTTTTTCAGAAAATATTGTGGAGGGTCAAAATGCTTAACTCAGTTCTGCATAATATGAATTGTATTTCTTTATAAAAAGTAGTAAATATTATTGTTTTGACGAGCTGGTCAGACTGGTAAGAGTTTATGTTATGACTAAACAATGAAAAAGTGAGGATGTCTTACAAAAATGTCATTAAAAAACACCACTAAAATAAAAGCAATATATGGGGCGCCACTCACAAAAACTGTTGTGTCCTTAAGCAAGACACTTCACCCACATTGCCTACTATGAAAGCGGTGTATGTGTATGTGTGAGTGATGGTGGTGGTCAGAGGGACTGATGGCGATAGTTTACCAGCACTGAGTGTGGAGTGAATGAATAATGATCTGTAAAGCGTCTTTGTGACAAATGTCTGTGAAAGCGCTATATAAATAAAAAACTTAAATCTAATCAGAATGATGTTGTATATACGATGTGTTTATGTTAATTAACTCAGAACCAAACACTTGGGATCACAATCAGTTGAAATCATCATTCAATCATCATTCAAAATGACACATTTACACTCCCAAATCTTTCGAGCCTTTGTGTGTGGACTTTGCATATTCTCCCTGTGTGTGAGTGGGTTTTCTCTGGGCACTCCAGTTTCCCCAATTACCCCAAAACATGCACCGTGGGTCAAATCCTCCAGCTAAGGCAGTCCTGACCAAGACAAAATTAAAAGTCATCTTGAAATGAATATTGGCAGAACATTTGATTTATGTTTTATTTATGTTCTAATAATAGGATTCTGTTCACATTTTCAACATGTCCAGAAGAATTGACAGAAAGTTTGATATCTGAACTGACAAACTAATACAAGAATCACATTTCAGAACATGTTTGTACAGATTCTGCTGTTTGTGGAGGAAATGATGGTACCTGCACAGACATTTGACTTTCCTTCAAAAGTCCTACATTACACAAAATTGAATCTTATAAGCTCTTAGTCATGTTATAATGTTGTTACCTCATCATAAACAGACCTGCAGTAATTCTATATGATTAGTCTGTGTACATCTCAAAAACTCAAAACGCTCTGTACAACCTTGTGATGTCAGGAAGCTGTAGTTTTCTAGTTGAAAGGAACTAAAATCTGCCTAAATATGCAAGATTAGTGTGAATGAAACAAAACACAACTCCAGGTCTGTTTGGGATGAAGAAACAACATCAGAACACAGATCAGAAAATAGTCTAATATAGGCTCTTTAATAAGAAAGAAATTCAAAAACAAAGAAAAAACAAATGCCCAGTCCAATAATTCTTGTCAGCCGCCGTGTTTTTTTGTCACTAAATCTTTCCAGCAGTACAACAGCTCACCTGACAGAGTACTCTAATAAAGCAATCGTCCATTTTATGACCTGCTCTGTTTCATTCCTCTAGTATCACTCCTTTGTCAATTTGAAATGAGAAGACGATTACATAACAAAGAGATGACCTACCACTGTGTACTTTGGCATACTGCACTGACTAAAACATAACTCCAGTACTGTAGTAACTTAAAAAAAAAAAAAAAAAAAGTACTTTTCTTACAGCATATTTTTTATTCCTAATTGACTTGAGTAGTTTTTTAAATTGAAGTAAAAGTACTCTTACTCAAGTAAAATATTTAGTTCTTCTTCCATAAGTGTGACACAAATACGTGAGTAATTTTTAAAAGAAATTGTACTTTTCTTGCAGCATATTTTTACTCCTACTTGACTTAAGAATTTTTTATTATTATTATATATTATTATTTTTTAAATAAAATTAACGGTACTCTTACTCAAGTAAAAGATTTGGTTCTTCTTCCATAGGTAGGTACTTGAAAAACTTTTAATTAGAAATTGTACTTTTGTTGCAGCAAACTTTTAATTTGACTTTAGTTTTTATTGAAGTAACAGTACACTTACTCAAGTAAAAGATATTGTTCTTCTTTCATAGGTGTGACACAGGTACTTGAGTAACTTTGAAAAGAAATTGTATTTTTTTTGCAACATACTTTTACTTCTACTTGACTTGAGCAGTTTTTTTAATTGAAGAAACAGTACTCTTGCTCAAGTAAAAGACTTAAAAGCTTAAAAGAGATTGTACTTTTCTTATATGTTTTTTTTCTTCTTCATTGTGCAGTTTTTGGCTGGTGCGGACTTATGGTCTGGAAAATACAGTTAACTTTCATGTTTGGTGTATTTGTTTTGGAAATAAAGTGAATCGTACTGATAAATTCTGAATTATTGTTCATTCCGGGCAGGGCAGGGCAGGGCAGGGCAGGGTGAGGAGGCATTTACTGAGTTTACTGAATATTTACTGAACAATGAACTGAACATTGTAAACACAGAGCAAGTATAGACCCTTGTAAATAATGTGCACATTTCTTTAGTAAACAATATACATAAGTACAAATAATGGCACAGTAGAATTTACACATTTGTAAACTCTAAATTCCAATAAGAATTTGAAAGTGAAAGTTTCTCCGCAAAGACTATCTGTGTCAAATATTATGTCAAAAAGTACAGCAAAGACAGCTCCAAGGTGACAGAAACATATGTTTTTTTAAAGAGCCATATTCGGCTGTTTTCTGATCTAAGTTCTAATGTTGTTTCCTCATCACAAACAGACCTGGAGTTGTGTTTTGTTTCATTCACACAAACTCTATATTTAGGTTTCCTCTCAAATCGAAAGCACCTTGTGATGTCATGAGGTAATACAGAAAGTTCTCCACTGTGTTTTTAAACGCCATACACCTTCACTAGAATCATTTGGATCATTTCAGCCAATCTTTACTGAACAAAAGTTAAACAGTATCTTGAAAATTTCCGCTTTATGACATCACAAGGTGGAGCAGAGCATTTTGAGCTATGGACTAATAATATATGACTCAAATATGTGTGAATGAAACAAAACACAACTCCAGGTCTGTTTTTGATGAGATAACAATGTTCTAACATGACTTAAAGCTCACAAGAGGCCATTTTGCGTAATATGTCTCTGATGTGTTCTGTCTGAGAGAAGAAAGTTTAAAAATGCAGGATGATGATTGATTTTCAAACAGTTCATCCACAGTTCAATAGTTGAGTGGACCTGGGCAGGGCGGTGTGTTCTGTTTTGTTCTGATTCACAGGTGACTTCTGGACATTGCCACAGTCCGGAAGTCACTTGTGAATTTTCTTATGACTAACAATTGATGTCAGCAAAATCCAGTGACTAATGAAAATCATGGAAAAATACACTATGATAAATGATACGTCAAAACTTAAAGGTTCACTGTGTAAATTGTGTCCACTACTTGCCTGAAATGTTCCACTGTATGGCATTAAAGGTGACCTACGTAACTGTCCTGTTGGAGGAGGGTGTGCCAGTCTTCACGGAGATGTTATTGCTTTGTCTGGAATGTTCCACACTATGGCATTAATCTAATCTATCTCCACTGAGCAGCACAAGAAGCCAATAGGCCAAGTTACAGGTCAGATCTGTGGAGAGGTAAAGGCATGTTTTTCATACTGTGGAACATTTGAGGTGTACCTTTAATTTAAGAATAATGGAGAAAATATGATCTTTTTTTTATCATTTTATTTAGATGAAAGGTGCTGTGTTACACAAAATGGACTCTTGTGAGCATTTAGCCATGTTATAATACTGTTACCTCCTCAAAAACACACCTGGAGTTGTGTTTTTTTTTTGTTTTTTTCACACATTTAAGTAATCTTTTATTATTAGTCTGTTTACGTCTCTCTCGCATCGACATCAGCTGAACATTACTGATTGGTAAAGTATTAATAAACACCAGTAGATAAACTTATCATATCGTGGCCACTGCAGTGTAGAACAATGAGCTTATGCTGTCGCTTTTGTTTAGGTGTTCATGTGGGAATTGCGAAGAGCTTTCTGCTACGTCAAACGTGTCATAGGTTTATCTGCCGCGTCATCGTTGTAGCAGCTTTAGTTCGTTGTCACGTGGGAGGGTAGCAGAAATACACTGCAATTTGTTAAAAAAACACTGAATCAATCTAAAAACCACTTCGGCGACCAGTGTTGGGGAGTAACAGATTACATGTACAAGTTATGAGTAACTGTATTCGGTTACAGTTACTGTTTCAGTGAGTGGTAATTGGA